TGGAGAAATTGGAAAGGGTCCAGAGAAGAGCAACAAGAATGATTAAAGGTCTTGAGAACATGACCTATGAAGGAAGGCTGAAAGAATTGGGTTTGTTTAGTTTGGAAAAGAGAAGACTGAGAGGGGACATGATAGCAGTTTTCAGGTATCTAAAAGGGTGTCATAAGGAGGAGGGAGAAAACTTGTTCACCTTAGCCTCTAAGGATAGAACAAGAAGCAATGGACTTAAACTGCAGCAAGGGAGGTCTCGGTTGGACATTAGGAAAAAGTTCCTAACTGTCAGGGTGGTTTAACACTGGACTAAATTGCCTAGGGAGGTTGTGGAATCTCCATCTCTGGAGATATGTAAGAGTAGGTTAGATAAATGTCTATCAGGGATGGTCTAGACAGTATTTGGTCCTGCCATGCGGGCAGGGGACTGGACTCGATGACTTCTCGAGGTCCCTTCCAGTCCTAGAATCTATGAATCTTTCTTAAGAGCTGGATTTTGTCCCACTGCCTGTGGCTACCAACTCCCCCGTCTCTTCCATGGCTAGTCCTGCTAAGGGGCTGATACCTACTCCCCAGAGGTGGCCGCATTTTTATATCTGGGATTGCCCTACTTTAGAGGGCTGAATCCTGTGTCCTACGGCTCACTTGCAGGAAGACCGGGTCCCCTGAAAGCTGGCCAGGGCGCGCACTTGCCCTGGATGCTGGGGGTGCCCCATGAAACCTGCGTGCCCCGTGGGTGGGACTAGGGCCAGGCCAGCCCTCCCACCCGCTCTCCCTTCCTTCGGGTGGCAGCGGGACCCTGTGCACTGCTGCTCCCGGCCGGTGGGTGCTGCTGGAGATGCGGCAGCGGCCCGGCGGCTGCCTGCCTTTCTCCGCGTCCTTGTCTCGGCGGCTATAAGGCTGGGAGCCGGCCGGCGGGCAGGAGCTCAGCGTGCGCTGCGGGAGGAGCCGAGCTGCCGGAGCGGGGCTGCGCTGCGGGGACTCCCGGGGCCCCCCGATCCCTTCTACCCGGAGCCCCGGGGCGGGCCGCCAGGCAGCCGGCCTGCCCCCGCCCCGCCGGAGGGAGGGACCTGGGCGAGCCCTTCTCCGGCAGAGAGGAACCGGCTTCTCCGGGGCGCGGGCTGCACCCTTCACCTCCGCCCTCTGCTTCGGCCCCTTCCCCCCCGCCGGCCCGGGGCTCCCCTGGGGGCTGCTGCACCCTGTGTCCCCGGGGGCTGCTGCACCGCGCTCCCGCCGCTGTCCCCGGCGCGGGGAAGAACGGGGGAGGGTGTCTTTGCATTGCGTTTGGCTCTGCAGGACTCTCGCTTTCCTGCCTGCAGGCTCTGCCCCTCCCCGGGGAAGCGTCCGGCCCAGTTCTGGTCTCGGGAGTTATTTATTTTATTGTGTTAAATCCACTTTCCAGGGGAAGACTGGAGCGGTCTGTTGGTGGCTCTGTCCCCTTCTCCCCTCCCCTCGCGCTTTCTTGTCCTCTGCAGCGGCCCCTTTGCGCTCCCCATGAAGCCCCCTGGGACAGGCTTCCTCTGAAATAGCCGGGCAGCGGGGCTCTCTCTTGGAGGGCAAGGGAAAGATGCAGGCGAAAGGCTCCCGTGCCCCTTCCCTCCGCGCTTTGCCCTTTTTGTTCATTGTGGCAGCCCTCCTAGGGCTGCTGCCCTTGCTTCACAGCCATGGCTTGCAGCCTAATCCGATGCTGGCCTCTGAGCCACCCCACCACTACCCAGCAGTCATCAGTGGAAGTGAACCTGGGGATTTCACGGCAGCCCCTCACGATGTCTCCCAGGAGATTCGCCCTCTGCCCAACCGCACCAGCCCTGGGCACGTCAAGTACCGGAAAGCCTTCCCGGTCCTGGGCATTGACTACACCCATGTGCGGATACCGTTTGAGATCTCCCTCTGGATACTGCTGGCATGTCTCATGAAACTGGGTACGTTGGCATCACTTCTCTGCAGGCGGTGTGGGTGGAGGGTATGTATACAGTGCCCAAACTTGCAGGCTTAGGAGTCGGGACTCCTGGGCTCTCTTCCTGATGAGTATCCCTGTGATCTTGGGGAAAGTGCTCAACCATTCTGTGCTTTCTGCTCTGTAAAATGGGTCTAAAACTTGCTTCACAGGGGAGTTGTAAGATTTGTTGGTAAAGGTCTCCAAGATCCTTGGATGAAATATGGTATAGAAGTAGCAACTGTTGACCATTCTGTTACAAAGAAAAATTAGATGGATCAGATAACCTTCACTTCTGTTTCCTTTTACAGCTGACCCTCCCTAATGAGGAAGGATGGTCCAGTGGTTAGGGCTCTCTTGGGAGACCTAGGTTCAGACCCTTGTCCTACTACAGACCGCCTGTGAGATCTTGAGCAAGGCACTTTGTTTCTCAGTGCCTCAGTTCCCCACCTGTACGAGAGGGATAATTGCACTTCCTCTCTCTGACATGTTGTGGGATAAATATACTAAACATTGTGAGGTGCTCAGGTACTCTAAAAGTTGGGACATATAAGTACCTAGATATCCTGGAGAGATAACGATCCCAAACGGGGTCTGATGTACTGAGGTTCTGACAGAAAATCTCTCAGAACTTCTGCAGCACGATTAATACCAGTTGAATTCTCCAGCATCTGACGGGCGCACACTTGGTCCTATCCCATGCCTAGATTTCAAAGCTGGCTTTTGACTCTCGGTGTAGAGGTCAAACTGGCCGCTCTCCAACTGGTGACATCTCGGTTTATATTCTGTCGTAATGCCCAGAGTGCACATGATGTGTCTGCCGCTTCCTGTTTTGGATGGTCATGGGGGAGGAGATCTGCATTTCCTTTCTTTCATTCCTGACTCTTACCATTAATTATTTTAAACCTAACACTCCTGGAGGCTCTTCTGTAGTGCTCTGTAACTTGCTGAATCTTACGCCAGGCTCCTATCAGACTCTGAGAGCTAACAGAAAGATTGGCTGGGAAATCTCATGGCTGGCTCTGCCTGCCCTGGTTCTGGTGTAATAGACCCCAAGCACTGGACTGGTAATTCAGGGCAAACTGCTGATCACTGGCTGAGATTACAGAAATGTCTCCCCCCACCCCCAAAGTTGGTGTGGTTGGGGAGTGTGTGTGTAGATATGAACAACTTTCAATACTTTTCTGAGGGCCTCTTAACCTTTTATTTGAATCTAGGGATATAAGTGTTAACATTTAGGCCCAGAAGACTTCCGTGTGTCTGTCTGTGTAAGATCGAGTGGTTAAAGCAGGTATTGAATCAGGACTCCTGGGTTCTGTCCCCCCCTCCCCTCCCAACTCTGACATTAGCTGGGCAAGTCTTTTCAAGTGCTCTTAAATATCCTTAGAAGAAGGTGCCAGACAAATAAGCAATGCTGTTGGTTTTCTTTTCATAGCCATAGTCCCCTCTCAGCTGGCACGTGTTCCATATGTTAAGTAACTTGTAGTAACTGATTCCAGTTACTTCACTGCATTTACAGTCTTCCTTAACTCTATTGGGTGGAGCAACGAGGAGTCTGGTGGCACCTTAAAGACTAACAGATTTATTTGGGGATAAGCTTTCGTGGGTAAAAAACCCACTTTGTCCGTTGCATCCGAAGAAGAGCGTTTTTTACCCACGAAAGGTTATGCCCAAATAAATCTTAGTCTTTAAGGTGCCACCAAACTCTGTGTTGTTCTTGTGGATACAGACTAACACGTCTACCCCTCTGATACTCTATTGGGTGGGGAAATCAGAAACCTCTATGCGCTGGTAGAAGGGGGGGGTGCTGCTGTTTATTCTGGTCTTTAGCCACACAGAACCTGGTTTCAATCCTGTTAGTGTGTGTCAAGGCATGCCTTGTGGTTGGTGTGCAAGATGTGAAACTGGTGTTGGCAGGTGAAAAGCACCAGGACAGGCAGCAGAAATACCCTGTAAGGAAATATGATGTGCCGAGGGTGGGGAATGGGGTTAGGGAATTTCTAATTTCCAGTAGGTTTGCTGGCTGCCTTCTTTTGTGAGCATCTTCATTTATCAGAGTGATCTGTAGTGTCTACGCAGAGGCTGCGACACAGCAGTTTCTGCAGAACTCTGCATTGTGGGTTAGGGCTGTTTGTGGTGTTTTAAGGTTGTTTTTGGTCAGTAGCAGAGCCTGTCGCTTCTTACACATCGAAGAGATTGTGGGAGTCTGGGTGTTCGGGGTCCATGTTTTAGGAGGACCAGTCTTGCAGCTTTTCAAGGATGTCTGAGAACCCATTGCAGGTAACTGAGGTGTTGGGGACACAGCATATACCACAGCCTAGGTTGCCTTACTCCTGTTAGGAGTTCTGGCTGTAGATCAAAGATGGAACATCCTCTTCCTTGGCCTTATTTCCAAGGGATTTGATGCTGGGTCAGATCAGCATGGGTGAGAATAACTGTCTTAGTGTGTTTCTGGGTCTTAGCTCATAGTTCCCGACTGCACCCCTTAAACTAGTGATTTACCCGTATAAACCAATGTTTTCCAAATGAATGAGTTGCTAAGATCATTGCTGTGGTTGTACCTGTTAGAGCAGTGGTTCACAACCTGGCGTCTGGGGCCCCCTGTGGGGCTGCGAGCAGGTTTCAGGGGGTCCGCCAAGCAGGATCAGTGTTAGACTTGCTGGGCCCCAGGGACAAGGCCAAAGTCCCACTGCATGGAGCTGCAGCCTGAGGCCCTGAGCAACTTAGCTTCATGGTGCCCCCTGTGGCATGTGGCCCTGGGCTTTTGTCCTGCTTGCTTACCTTTAACGCCGGCCTGGCTTTTATATGCAGAAAACCAGTTATTGTGGCACAGGGGGCCGTGGAGTTCTTATAGCATGTTGGGGGCGGGGGGCACAGAAAGAAAAAGGTTGAGAACCCCTGTGTTAGAGAACGTGTCCCTGCCTCTGGGAGGAGCAAACTCACTGGGCTGGCAAGAGCTTACTGTGCACTCCTAGCCCCACCCTTGTACTCATGGTGTTCTGGCTGTGTAATTCAGTCTTCAGACAGATAGGCAAGTCTGTAATTGTGGGTGCTGATACAGATCAATGCAGTGGAATCTAAAATGACAGGACTTGAGAGTTCCAGGTTTGATTAACCAGGCCAAGGATTTATCCTCCAAATCTTTCATGCTTCCTTTCCCCACAGGGCCTAATACAAAGTGAGGGCAGGATTGGAATGGCTAATGGCAATAGTGTTTTGCACTGTATGTGGTTCTCTTTATTTTCAAAGCCCTTGGCAAACTTTGACTTATACCTGTGAAAGCCCTGGGTGGTGGGTAAACATATTACTGCCATCTTACAGATAGGGAAACCGGTGCAGCGAGTTTGACTTGCCCACACCACACAGGGAAACAGTCCGGGAGCTGGGATTACAACTCAGGAGCTTCTGTTTTCTAGTGCTGGGTTTAGTCCACTGGCCCAGGCTGCCTCTCCACTGAGGCAGGGGCTGATGATTGAACAGTCTGAATAATGATGCCTGGGCTATTGCAGAGACCCAGGGGACAGGATTAAAATCCTGGGAAGTGCTGTTCTGGATACCTATGACTGGTGGCCATATGGACGGGCTGCTCGGTGCACACTGAAAACTGGAAAAGAAGCTGAAGAACTTGGGGTAAAAATTAATGGGCCGTTATCAGGGTCAACAGATCCCAGCTATACTTTGTCATATTCCTCAATCTCCCCCTCCCCCCCCCCCTCCTGGTTTTAAAACCTCCTTTCCTCTCTTAAAGGAGTCCCTTGGGGTATCTTTGTATGGTGGTTTAATCTGTGCCAAGCCAGCACTGCAAGAACCTCAACGTCCTAGTTGCTTGGCCTACCAGCCCAGTCTTGAGGGACCTGATTCCTTGGGATCTCGGGCATGTGCACATTGGCTGACCTTGGCGCGCTCGTCTTGTGGCATGCTTCAAAGAGCAGCTATCTTGCAAATTTCAGTTACCTGCCGGCTTGTGAGAATGTAACGGGCACTAGAAGTGAGCGCTAGTGTAACACAAACACACTTGTGGCCGTGATCTCCACCAGCCATGGAGACTAGGATTGTTGCTGACTCACCTAGTCCCAGCACCTGAGGTTAGGACTGATGCTGATTTATTATTAATTAATTAAGAGGCATTTTAAGATGGAATGCTCAGTGAAATGCACCAGAATGGGCTACGGGGATGTAAGTTGAAATACCTTCTATGCCCCATCTAATGTGCAGGAAATGTGTTGTAACAGTTTTGCTTCATTTGTCTAGATGGAACTATACCATGGTATAACCATAATAGATAATGGAAGCGTTACGCCCCTAATCTTCATTTGGGAGCTTGGTTATAGGGAGTCTGGTGGTGTAACATTATTTGCTGTGTGGCGAGTTCAGTTGTGTAGATGGGCCCTTGATCACCACCCACTCAGGAGGAGATAGTGGTAGCTAAGCTTCTAACCAGTGATTCTGCAGTGCAAAGAATCATCCATCTGCGTGAAGCAGGCACAGATGATTTCCCCTGGGTTTGGCACTGAGTCTTTGGTAGGGCATTTGGGGTAGAAATTTTAAGACCGTTTCTCACATGGCCTCACTGAAGACAAAACTGGGTTCTTGTGCTGTTGAGTCACCTTCTCTCCCACTCACCCTTTCATTTTTATTCTTTCAGGTTTCTCCTAAGTCTTTCTTTACACCCTGTTAGCTAATTTTCTCTTAGTGCAACATCAGTTGGTAGGACTAGAATCACCTGTGACTTCAGAACTCAAGGTTAGAGAGAGGGAGCCGACCTTCAGTGCCAATGCTCCAGGAGACAGGCATTTAATTCAGACATAAATAAATCTCTCTCATTTCCACTGGAATGGAAAGAATGAGCAAGGAATGCAAATAAAGGCTTAATAACGAATTGCAGTAATAGTACCTGTCATGGTGTCTCTTTTCAGTGCCAGACTATAGCAGAATAGGCCAGGGACTGGCAGTCAGGATTCTCCTCTGCCACCGATTTGCTGTTTG